CGCCTTACAGTCTAAGATCCCATGTACCCTCAGAACCAATGTACCCTAAGAACTCGATGTACCCTCGATGTACCCTTTTTCGATGTACCCTTGGATCGTGGGCCAGTTTAGCCCAGTTGTTGAAATCCCGATATTTTTAAATGTGTTCTTATAGTTAGTCTTATTAAACTTCTTGACAAAACTTTGATGGAAACCACCTGGAGTAAAAAATTTAAGTTTCACCATATTCTTGAATTTCCATCAGCTTAATAGTTTGGATGATGTGACACGACTAGTGTCATTGGAATCATAACACTGTCACAAGTGTGTTTGCAGACTCAGTGTAAAAGACTGTAATTTTTGTACGGAGTCTGCAAACACGGGCTGACAATTTCTTTAATTCTGACAATATCAAAAAAAGCTGTGGAAGAGAATTTGCTTGTGGGCGTGGCCAACGGTTCAAATGACGAAAACCACCACCACTTGAAATTATCGGTCCTTTTTTTTCGATTACTATTGATTTTCGACAATTTTTGTGTTGAAAATCCCCAGACAAGTCGGAAAATGAAATTTTTCGAAATCTACAAAATTGCCGGAAAACGGACAAAAACCGAAAAAATAAATTTGCTTTTTCGGCCGTGGCCGCGGCCAACAGAATTTCTCTTCCACAGATTCAATTTTTGCATACCGAAATAATAAAAACATTGGAATTTCACCTTCATTCGCTTTTCAGAAAGAATCCCTCCTTTCCGAGGCACCAACTCAACGAGAGAAATCTCCCGAACGGAAACCAGAGCCAATTGTGAAGCAAGAAGAGGAGAAAATCTTAGAGAAAGTTCCAGAAGAACCGAAAAAGGTTGAAGAGGAGCCGAAAAAAGAGGAACCTGTGAAAGTGGAAGAGTCTCCGAAAATCGGGGAGAAGAAAGAAGAAGTGAAAGTGGTGGAAGAGAAAAAACCGGAGCCACCGGTAGCAGTTGTTCCAGTTGAGGAAAAACTGAAGAAGAGAATTCAGGTGGGATTTGGTTTTTTGATTTTAGTTCATCAAACATGAAACACTCTAATAATATTTGAATCACTTAGTATTAACAAGTTGAAACAGAAAAAATAAATATTTTCAGATCAATGTAAAACGTTATCCGGACACTGGAGATCTCACTATTCTATCCGAGAAAAACGAAATTGTCACGTTCAGTTGTTCTACAAAGCATCGGGTTAAAAAATCAAAGAAAACTGAAAAATGATTTTTTTTGAGAAATAAAGATTTTTTGATTAATTTCTGTTTCACATTTTCCAGAATAAATGTCTGAAAGTCTTCATGTTGATTCATAGATTTATTCATGTCATGATTCAATAAATTAGGTTTTCATTAAATTTCTCGTTTCTCAACACCGATTCAATTCGGCGCACCACAGAGCATCTACCACTTGTTGATCCACAAATTTCGCCAATTCTGCGATTTTCTTATCAGCCATTTGGTAACACTGATCAGAGGTTCGTCCTTTGGGAAGCGATGCACAGGCTGTGTTGGCGAATGAGGTTATGTCCGTCTATAATTTTTAAAGAAAAGTGTGTAAGAATTAAACCGATAACAAATTCAATGACAGGAGTGAGAAATAAGGACGATTTGAAACAGAAAAAATATACTATCTGTTTGAATTTCGAACTATTGGTGTTTTCAGACAATAAAGGCTTTCTAACAACTTTTCGCTTCGAAAGACCATCTTACTTAAACAAGAGCTTTTTGCGGTCAGAAGATGTGGTGGTTTTCAAGTTATACTGATCCCAAATACAATAGGTTACTGTAGAAACAAAATTTCAAAGACTGTGTTTGGCTGGAATTGTTAGATTACTCCACTTAATTAGAGTTAATTAGATTATGTAGAGCAGGCCAACAGCCTGTAAGATATAAACTATAGGTTTGTTTTTCAATAAATACCGTTTTTTGAGAAAATTTCTAGAGTGTTCATACAAAAACACGTTTTTTGCACCAAATAAAGCAGTAAAAAATTTGAAAATACCCACATGTGGCCACATTGAAAATTATTTTTTTGAAAAATTTCAAAAATGTAATCATACCCTGAAACAGTATTATTTTTACAGTTTCACAATAGCCTTTTCGTTTGATAGAAACATTCAAAAAATTAGTTCCACGGTTTTTTCGGGAAAGCAATATGTTTATTTTTAATTTGGCCTCCTCACCTTCGACGTAACTGCATAATTTTTGGCATTCTCGAGCATCCGTTCGCAGAAAGAGCATGTCAATCGTTTTTCGTCCTGAATAACAAAACAGTTAGAAAAAATAATGAAATCAATTGATTTCTTCTTACCACTTCTTCTTTCTCCACCACTTTTTCTCGAGAAGTTTCAACGATTGTATTTCGAGACACATATTTTGGACGAAGTGGTGGTGGAATTATTATCTGAAAAGACAAATGGATGTGAGCATTGTTAATTTTTTGTGAAGGATGCGATTATCAGTTGATTGAAACATATTTTATTCTGAATTTGTGAAGTTTATGAAAGTAGTTTTTTTTTAATTGTATAGTTTTTGTATAGTGTTTGTATTCAAGCTAGTTGTATTTTGCACAATATTAATCGCAAGGCTCAGTCATTTTAATGATGTCAGTAAAACAGAAAATATCTCAGTTTTTTTTCAAATCTGATTTGTGGACCCACCGTTGTTTCAAATAATCCGAATTATTAAAAGAGGTTTGTATTTTGAGCTCAGTTATCTCAACTTCAGTGAGAGATATCAGAAATTTTTCAACTGATAGAGGCTTGATGAAATTATGACCAACATTTTATCGGTTGACAGATTTTTAACATCTTTTATAGGAATTGAGATCATTGAGCTCAGAGTGTACGTATATCATGACATTCTATTAGATTCATTAATATTAAGTTTGATTATCAAATTTTAAAGCAAAACATGTCCTAATTAGAAAGGCTCTAAGATAGTCAAGTAGTCCGGAAAATTGAAAAGAAAACCAATTCTGTGATTTCTAGCTGGCTATTAGAGCATAGTTCTAGTTTTCAGATTTTCAAAAATGACAGTTTTTTTTTTCAATTAGAGGCGTTATTTAATTTTCAGACTACTCTTACGATGTAAAACATATTTTTGAAACAATTTCTTTTTTCGATGATGTTTCTGCTTTCAAATATGTATGTCAACTTCAGTCAACTCCACTGGAAAACACGAAAAGAAACGTTTTTCGTCCAATTTGAGAAACAGCAAGAAAAGTGCCTTTTTATGAAAGATTGTCACTTTGAGAGTTGTCCTGTCACACAGGTATCAACCGTTTTTGAAGTCATTTCATTACTGCAACGCAACGAGTAATGCAACAAACAGAAAACAGTTCTCTTCGAAAAAATCATGAAACAGTAGTAACTAACCTCAAGAACATTTTTATGCCCAATTCGATCTGTACGCTCTTCTCTTCTCTCTGGAACCATCGGAGGTGATGGTGGAGGGCTTCGTGTAGTTGTAGTCGTTGCTCGTGTAGTGGTTGTGGGAAGTGTAGTAGTTGTTGTGGTACGTCTTCTGGTTGTAGTGGTTGGAATCTCAATTTCTTCGATGTCATCTTCAGGGAACATGGTGGATGACTCGATTGGGGGTAGGGGACCGCCGACCTGAAACTTCGAAAAATGATCCTCAAGATTACTGTTCCATCACTATTTAATGTTTAGCTTTGGACAAGATAATTTTATTGTGTAGATCGGACATGATATAATAAACACTCACCGCAAAGGGATTCTGTTCATCACAGAAGTTCATTCTCACACAAACATCTTTCGACGACAAATCGTAATTAATCGAGTAATAGATTTCGGGAAGCGACGTCTCCACGAAAGCAAAGCACTGCTCCTGTAAATTTTCCTAACATCGTGGATTGTTTTTCAAAACTCAGAATCTGAATTTTTTGGGCACCTTGAAGACTGACGGAAGTACTCGACACTTTTCGTACAATTGATTTCTTAGCTGGTTTTCGGATAAACCGACTCGGTGCTTGGTGACGGAGAGGAGTTGGGTGCACATGAAACATCCCAAATTCGATGGAGTATTGCCGTTCGGAGAGGGAGCGGGTCTGAAATTTTCAAAAGTTTATGTTTCACATGGTTGTGAGTTACAAGGTGTTTAGAGTGGAGCCCTAAGGAATTGATGTGGAAAAAAATTGAGAAAAAAACTCCGACTAAAGATAGTTACCCCTGCAAAGTCTGTGACATCTTATGAACACCGTAAGTCTAAAGCTTCGATCGAGAGGCCCAGTAGCCTTGGGTACATAAAAAGGGTATTTCAAGCTCTTATTGTTTTCAATTTTTTGAGTATTTAGGATTCTTAGAAATAGGCTACTTTAACTTTTAGAAACATGTTTTTCAGAAATCTCCAAAGATTTTGCAGTTTTAGATATCCAATGTTGTTGTTTCTAAAACCAACGGCATACAGAAAAAAAAACTGTTTCAAAGCCGGTTTTTGTAAGAGATATCAAAAAGCGGACAACTGAAAAAATAAGTGTTTGGTTTTGTGACAAAAAATTTTTTAGTTGACCACTTTTTGATTTCTTTTATAGGAAACTAGGAATTTCGAGTCGAAGTTTAGAGACAAGGAGCCTTTCTATCACAGGTTTTCAGGTAGTTCGAAAAAGTGTAGACAAAATGTACAAATTTTTAACTAGCCAAGGATAAGAAGTTAAAATCGGTTTTTACCTCTGATTAGTGGTCGCTGCTTCATTCCAAAAATAGGTAAAAGTCACTTGAAATTGCTGTCCAAGTATCGCAAAAACCAGTAGTAAACTTACCCTCATCCCGATATATCTGGAAGAAATGCCTAAAAAATTAACAACGAAAACAGATTTAAAATTAAAAACAGCCCAAGAATGACCTTATAATTGAAATTCGATGAGTTGCTTTCCGTCAGAAACAAAGAGGTGGAGCACAGACGAAGAAGACCCAAAATAAATTCCAAAAGAAGACATTTTACTTTCTTCGCTCTCTTCTCAAGCACTGTATATGGTAGCATCCCCCGGAGAGAAATAGTGTCAGATGTGAGGAGACGCAGGCACTTGAGATGTGCGAATTCGAGCACCCGAGATGAGAGTTTACACACTTATGATCCCTCCGTTTCGATTGCCTTATTTCGCCACCTCCTACTGTATTTGTACTATAATAATTGGAGGAGAATGAGATGATGGTGGTGATGGAACAATAAGAGTTTTAGGAGATTCGTGAAATTCGAATTGTTTTTTGATGTTATCTGGTGTGGGAAAAATGAAATGGAAGTGCATTATGGGAGACAATATTGGATAGAAAATCAATTGCTCAAAAAAATTAGTTGAGAGTCAAAAAATTCCAATTTTCAAGTCAGTAACAGACATACTATATGATAAGAGTCCTTGCAGTAAAAATGGCAAAAATCTTTCCGCTTTTAAAACTAACTGAAACCATTTTTCATTGAAACTATTAAATTTTCGATGAAAAATTCAAAGGTTTCTTCATGGTTGTATTTCAGAAGAATCAGATCATTTCAAAAACTTTTTTTCTGTTTCCTGAAACTCTGAAGTGTGAAAAACTTGTTTCTCGGAAATGCGAAGCTTTATGCATATAGCAAAATTTTCTTCCAAAAAAATCTCTTGTTGAAAAATGAGGAGTCGAAAGTTTTCATTTTATAATCAGGCACATATCATTTTTCCAATAAAAAGGATGAAAATCATTCCAACTTGTAAACTAATTTTTTCGGAAAATTTAAAATTCCTAAACAAAGTTTCACAATTTCTTCATGATTCTATTGCAGAGCTATCCCTGCAAATAGTAATTTTTCTGTTTCATGAGGTTCTGAATTTTGACCAGCTTTTTTCTCAGAGTTACAAAACTCAGTCCATATAGAAACCTTCTCGAAAAATTGAAAAGTGACAAAAGAAAAAAATCTTCACAGTTATCCTGAAAATTTCATGAATCTTCATTTTGAGTATTTTTCTAATTATTGTCAAGAATTTTCAAGTTTGCTTTGAAGTTTTGGTAGTTTTTTCCCACAGGAAAATTTGGAAACTTTGAGATACATAGATTTTGTTAGTATAGGACAAAGCAAAAATAAAGAAAATAAAAAATCAGTGGAGAATCAAAACTTACCATTCTCTCATCAGCAACAAGATTCCAAATGAAAATGGCGCTTCTGAAAACTAATTGAAACCGATCTTTATTGAAACTTTGAATTGTTCAATGAAAAATTCAGATTTCTTCATGGTTATTTCCCGCCATGTAAATAATTGTATTTGTTCTATTTCATGAGGTTCTGAATCATGGACAAATTTCTTTTAAGAATTTCAAAACAAATATCGTTGTCGTTGAAAAATGAAAAAAGGCACAGTTCTGAATAAAAATGGCAAAATTATTATATTGTGAAAACAAATTGAAAGCTTATAAAAAAACTTATTTTCATAAAAATTTTAAAGACAATTTCAATGAAAAGTTCAAAATTTTTTTAAATGATTGTATTGCAGACCAGTCATCTTCTTGCAATGTTTCTGAACAAATGACGAAAAACAACAAAAAAGGGAGTCGAATATTCCAGACTGCAAAAAGTGATCGAAATACTCTACATTAAAAATATTGTAACTTATTAATTCTTGAAAACTAATTTAAATTTATAAAAATTCAAGAAATAATTTCTATAAAAACCTTCAAAAAGAATCTTCATGATTATTTTGCCAATCTGTATATATCTTCATTGTTTCTGTTTCCTTAAAGGGGGACTCCGGTCAAATTTTTTATTGCATAAAAATGTGTTAAAAGTTATCTATTTTCCTAATATTATTGCGAAAAATTTTTTTTTAATCCGAAATCCCCGAAAAACGCCGATGAAAAGGAAAAAATTAAAAAAAAGGTGCCGCCGAGGGACGAGGATTTTCAGTGAGAAACCTAGACCACGCGTGGGACGCGACTTTCTTACCGGACAATTTTTCCGGATTTTATTCGCTTTTATCTCCGACAGGTAAAAAACGTTAAAAAACACTGTCGGTCACTTGAAAATAATGCAATCAGGCGCCGTGGCCTAGGTTTCTCACTGCGTGGGAATTCAAATCCTCGTCCCTCGGCGGCTCCTTTTTTGAATTTTTTTCACTTTCAACGGCGTTTTTCGGGGATTTCGGATTTCTTTCAAATTTTTTCGCAATAATATTCGAAAAATAGATAACTTTTGAAACATTTTAATACAAAAAAATTTTGGTCGGATTCCCCCTTTAACTGTTCGCAAGTTTTTTGTTTCGTAATTGAAATGCTGCTACTGAAACCGAAGTTTCCTGAATCTCCCAAAACTTCTGTCCTGATGAAAACTGTTTAAAAAACTACTCTGTTTTCTTGAAAATTTTGTAAAAAGTTGGTGATTTTTCATTAAAAATTACTTCTGATTTTCACTGTTTCACAAGCATAACTTGTGTTGAACGAACTCCAATTGGAACAACGCTGTTTTGAGAGTTCTCAAATGCCTTCGACCTATCGCACCCCCCCCCCCTTCGGAATGGCACTCGCTAGAATTCGTTCCCGCACAATGATACAAACGCGCCCCATTGACTAGCACACTAGAGCGAAGAGACGCAGAGAAAGGTCTTCTCAATTTTTGACGTCTTCAACCTAATTTTTGTGTTTTCTCTTTAGTTTTTCGGCTCAATTAAGGAAAGATTTAGGTAAACACGAATGTAAGAGAAAAAGATAAATGTTCTGCTTTCTATGAGTTTCGTAGGATGTCTGGATTTTGCTAAAACGTTTGAAATCCCTTCATTCGGATAATCAATACCTTTTCTGGCCTACTTTCAAAAAACAAATAACTTATCTTATGGGAAAGTTGGAAAAAAAGTGAAAGGTAAATCTATTCTTGAGAAAACCTGACAAAAAAGTTCCCAATAAAGATTCTTAGCCATTTGAATTAAGTTACCAGGAAATCCAAATTTTTTTAAACTAGAAAAAAGATGTTTAGAAAACAAATAGATTTTCCTTTTCTTCTCTTAGCAAAAGTTTCGGTTTCATCGAATTTACAAGCATATATGTTTTCAATCGTTTTTTCAGTTCGACTTGCGATTCAGAAATGAACATTTTCAGAACGATTTAGGCACCAAATCTCTCTTTATGTGGTATGCAAAATACCGAGAAGCTGTTGCAAGCAGCACAAGAATAGAACAAGAGTAAGGAACCAAAACCTTCAACTTCGAGCTCATATATCTAACTTTTTGTGAAAGATATAAAAAGTGATCAACTGATAGAATGTTAATTATAATATAAACGATATTTTGTTGGTTGACCACTTTCTTATATCTTTCACAGAAAACGAGAAAAAATTGGCTCAAAATTTATCTAAATCTCATTTTAATTTTCATTATTTTTCAGCAATGAATATACAGCATATACAGCACCAATTAAACGACCACGGGAACATCACAGAGTCGATAGCCTAATCTCACAAGAGCCAAACTTCTTTTTGACGACTCCATCTAGCTTCAGAAATGAGAATGCATTAAATGCGTTGAACGTGGTAGAGCAGTTTGTCAAAGCTATGACCGCATCTTGTTCTTCTGAAGGAGTCAACGTTTCTGAAAATCGAATTCAGGAGCAACCTGTTTGCGGTCCACAGGCTTCTCCGGTAGAGGTAAGCTGGCTTTGAAAATTCAATATTATGGTTAATGCTCTAGAATTCCACTCTACATATATGTTACTTTAAACTCGAGTACCGTAAAACCTCAAATGGAAGGGCTCCCTATCTTTCAACTTAGAGTCGATATACTTTGTTTCCTCTCAGAGATATCAAAAATTTTTCAACTGGTAAGGTTTTTATCATAATATCACCAACATTCATCTCAGTTGACCAAATTTCGATATCTCTAGTAGAAAATAAAATAATTGCGCTCAAAATTCAAATACAGGCTGACTTTCTATTACAGCATTTACGGTTTCTCAATTCTTGTAAGAGATATGTATCAAAAAAAAAGTGGACAACCGATATGGAATGTCTACAAGACAGTATCAACACTTCTACACACAGGGTAACGGCTGCGCATGGTATATGTCTAGGCGCGCATATAGGATATAGGATGTGCACCCATAATAATTCCGTGGGTAGCGCGTGCGCGCTATATGCGTCGTCGCTGGGCACGACTGGTCACCGGTGGGCGCACCCATATAGCATCCATATAGCATCCATATAGCATGCACGCTTTTCCCATGAAAACGACAACCCACCAACGACACTCCGCTATTACGCTAGTGCGCGTTGTTTAACAAAATTTTCCACCGCCGATCTTGATCAATTTTTCGATCATATTGATCATATTTCCTGCTTTCAAAGAACTTCTCACTGTTTTCACATGTAAAGATTATGGCTAACGAAAATAAAACATTTTTACTAAAGAAATAGGTAAAAATTTTTACAAAATCCGGTTTTTCTTGAAATCAGGACTTTTCTGTTTTACTTCGAAATGAGGGGAATAATATATGTTTCAGGTGGAATACAGGTTGGTTGGTAAGTTTTCCGATTATTACGAAGTAAAATTAGGAAAAAATCCGAAAAACACACAATTATTTCGAAAACAAAATTATGCGAATTAATGCCAATTTCAAGACTCTGTTGAATTTTTTTCAAGTTTTCTATATCGCAATTTCGAAGGAAAAATTTATTATGTTATATCATCCAGATATTTTTAACTTCCTGCCATAATTTTTCTTGCTGTGAGAAAATTCTGTGAAAACTGGAAAAATGGTCACTCTGTGAAATCTGAAAGGGAAAATGAACGACATTGGAAGATATGAACAAAATCACATCTTATTACAACTATAGTTAAATGAATTAATCCATATAAGAGATATCCATCGCCAATAGGACCTGAAATTGTAGATGAAATATGGACGCGTCATGCCCGATCTCGATGGCGCGTGCGCGCATATAGCGTACTATATGCGCGCGAACGGTGTACCTATTTCGTTCATATGAGGCACCGCGCCAACGCATATACCATGCGCAGCCGTTACCCTGTGCAGTTTAGTTGAACATTTTTGACATTGCTCATAGAAATTGAGATAATTGAACATATCTATTATATGGTATCTTGAACCTTTCAGAAAGTCACCAACCATGCTCCGTGGGATGCCCCAGTTCTCCGCCCTTCTCAAGATGTTCCAGAAACCCCGGAACCCAATCATCGTTACGACAATACATAAAACGTAATTCCAAAAGAACTCAAGGAAAGAAAGAACAGCCGGCAGCCTGTCAATTGTGCGGAATGATAATCAAGCACGTTTCGGATAGAAGAAGACATGTATTATTCCATCTGAAATTGAAGCCGTGAGTTCATTTCTCTTTACTGAAAGGATGAGAGACGCTTTGCTACCAGTTGAGCTACGGCGCTGAAACTTCCATCGCTCAGCTGGCAGCGGATCCCACCAGTCCAACTCCTAGAGGGGCTTATGTGAAAGAAATTTCGAGAAAAAAAAATACACTTTTCATATCCCTCAACCTTTGGAACGTGCAAACTGTTTTCAGATGGAAATGCACATCGTGTATGAGTGGCTTCACTCGAGCATCTACAGCGATTCTCCATTTTTCTAAACAACACCCGTTTGAGACATCCAATCCATTTGTCTATGAATTGTTAGCTCATTTTTCCTTTTTAACCCTATAAGGATCAGAAATATTTTCAGATCCAATGAAGAGACCGAAAGAGTGAATAAAAAGAAAATGGAGTACTTTTTGGAATCTGACGAATCGGCTGATCCACCAGAAACAAAAGTTACGGATAATGTTTTTTCGGAAGTCAGCGAACACAATGAGTCTGAAATCTCAATCAAGGATGGAGAAATTTCCATAGAGGACACTGAGTCAATATCCAGTTCTCCAGATGAGAACGATCCTGACTTACCGGAAGCATCCGAGGTAAATGACGATTCTAAGGCCTATGGCAATCACGGAAATACCTGCAAACTTTGTGGAAAGGAATACGCCGGTGTCGCGGATCAAAAAGTACATGTAATGACACATCTTCATATAAAACCGTAAGATTTTAAAAGGGTTCGATAATAGAATATTTTTCACAAGTTCAGGTGGAAATGTCCAATCTGTATAAAAGCTTATACGCGAATCAAAACGGTTAATGGTCATTTCGTCCAAGTTCATAAGGGAGAGCCGTTTCAGCCGCCTGTTACTAATTTGTGAGTTTTTTTTCTATTATATTGGCTATCGTGTCGACTGACACCAGGAACGTCACGATTTTTCAATTCAAATGTGCTCAATTGAACAGGTTTTGGGGCGGAAATTTGAAAATGTTTTCCCGCTTTAGTTGATGGCCCAGAAATCATCTAAATTACCTGTTTTGTTTTCTAGGCCACTTAACACGGTGACCTAGTTTTCACAAGTTCAGTTTACTAGGCCACCAACGTTTTTAGCCTGGAAGTGATCTGATATTCACCTGGTGTATTTTCTAGCTCATTTTAACATGACGGCTTAGTTTTTGCAAGGTGAGTTTTCTAGGCTAGGCATGGCAACTGGCCTAGGAACCACGCTAGTTGAATGTGAGACGGTTAAATTCGTGTTGAGAAAATTAGGCCACCATGACAAATGTCATAGAAAACACATCGGGTGAATGTTTGGGTCATTTCTAAGCCATCCGCTACGATGGCCTAGAAAATTCTTCTGTCAAAAATTAGGTCATAATGTCCTATGTAGGGTTAAGTGAAAACTACAAAAAGCAAAACCGAAATTTAAAAAAAATACATATTTTTTCAGATCAATCCGAGACAAAGAGCTAATTGATCGCAAGAGACTGGAATATTTTCCAAAGATCATAAAAGTGAGTGTCTCATTCTTCATTGTATAGGATTATAATCATTAAAAAAACTTTCTACAGCTCTATGAAGATGTTTCGAAACCGAAAACAATTTTCATTCCACTGAAAAGAGTGACGTGTCAAGAGTGTAATCGAGAAGTCAGCAACGTACATGCCGATCGATGGAGACACAGTTTGTGTCATGTGGGACTCAAACCGTAGGTTTTTTCTATATACTGCTGAATTTCTTTTTCTGGATACTGTAAATAACCAAATCGATTTATTTCAGTTTCAAATGTCCCCACTGTAACAAATGCTACACTCGAGCTGATAAAGCTGGTCAGCATTCTATTAAATTCCATCCCAACTGCGAATTCAAACCAATTGAATATACAATGTGAGATAGTTTTCAAGTTTTGTTTGGTCCTCTGGTTCTTCAAATAGCTGGCTGGTGCGCCTTCGGCGCAGTTTAACTTACTTACTTTATTAAATCGCGCCGAAGGCGCTAGCTAGTTTATTATAAGAATCGTTATGATTGCAGATCGAAAGACGAAGAGCTACAACTGGAACTGAAAATGCTCGAGAACTTTCCGGAAAGTTCGTTATGGAGAAAAACAGAAATCACTGAAGAAAATGATAGCACTGAATCCGATATCAATGATACGACATAATATTATATATGCTCCAAGTGACCGTTTACATTCCGCTTTCACTGGTTTTTGAGAAACAAAATACGGTTTTTTTTGTTCTAGCATAACAATTGACTACATTAGTGATTATTTATTATGATGGCCTATTTTTTTCAGAGAGGATTTTCGAGGCCATCATAGTTGATAGTCCAGAAATGGTCAACCTTTCATACATTCTACATGATTAAATAACATTTTTGATTAATCAAAAGAAATGAAATAAAATAAAAATGAAATTTCAATTAATTTCCATCTTGATGAGCATCCATGCGAAACTGTCTGGAGTCACAATAAATGGTTGCTTTCAACTCATCCAGTCGTCGGATAATGTAACCTCCTCAGATTACCATTTCGCAAACACCCTCCCTAAAAAAAGGAACAAAATCGCAGAAATTCAAAAATAGTGTCACAAACATTACGGGATATTTTCTCTCTTCATCTGTCCACACAGTTTCCAAATCTTCATCCCAGTTTTCAAAAATTGTCTCATATTTGAAATCCACTTTTAGCATTTATCCTTCAGTAGATGGTGCTGATCCGGTGTTGGTGGTCCGTCGGAAGGTGATCCTCATCATGAGTTGATACTCGTTGTTTAGCTACATCCTCTGCCTTATATATATGAAATTCTGTCATGTTGTGATAAACATTTTGTAAGTGGACCACTTTTTGATATCAGCTACAGGAAATGGGATAGATTGGGCCAAAGCTTTAGGTTTGGGACCCTTCTCATACAGGTTTCACAGTGTGTAGATTTTCCAATGGATTTATGTCTTAAAATGTCCACACTTTTAAAAAATGTCTCCAAATTCTTCTGCTCTCCAACAAATTCTGACCCCTCTCAAATCCATTTTTCCTCTTTTTATCCCAGAAAAATAGATGCAAATCACGGGGCAAAAAGTTAGTTCATCGCGTAATGCTCTTGGTTTTTTTCCTGCCTAATACATTAACCATGGCAAGAGCAAATCGAATAAATTAGCATAATGCGTCCAGGAAGAAGACGTCGATGGGGAAGAAGGGGAAGAAGATGGAGAAGAAGAGGTGGAGAAGATTCTGGAAAAATTGGAAAAAGGGTCTTTTGAGATTTCTGTGATAACACGATTAGACTATAAGAAGGGCATGGATTGCCATATGATATTTACAACAGAAAGTGCTGAACGTTTGCAGTTTCAATTATTCTGTTTATGTCAGGACAGTGAACACACCCTTAGAATGTGGTTAATCAAAAACCGATTTCTCTTTTTGGCATAAAATACTTAAACTTTGGAGACATTTTTTAAAAGTGTGGACATTTTAAGACATAAATCCATTGGAAAATCTACACACCGTGAAACCTGTATGAGAAGGGTCCCAAACCTAAAACTTTGGCCCAATCTATCCCATTTCCTGTAGCTGATATCAAAAAGTGGTCCACTTACAAAATGTTTATCACAACATGACAGAATTCCATATATATAAGGCAGAGGATGTAGCTAAACAACGAGTATCAACTCATGATGAGGATCACCTTCTGACGGACCACCAACACCGGATCAGCACCATCTACTGAAGGATAAATGCTAAAAGTGGATTTCAAATATTTGCTGTATTTGCTGTTTTGCTGTCTCGCCTCCTTTAACTTTCAGTTAGTTTTTAGTTTTGTTTCAAACTAGACATGTATTCTCGTTAGCATTTATTGTTTAGTCGTGTGTTGTTTCGTTAGTTAATAAAATTTTCCAATATTCATTTTAGATGTAACCGAACTTTTTGAGACCCTGTCCCTTATACGAACTGATGGAATGACTAAATTCAGAAAACGAAAAACAACGAGAAGCTCAACGACAACAGCAAAGATGTCGAAACCAGAAGACACCGAAGAAAACGAGAACCCGCCGAGACCGAGAGAAAAGCGCGCGGATAAAGCAAAAATGGGAAAAGATCACAAAAAATCAAGTTCAAAGAAAGTTCTGACAATCCGACGGTGTTGAACTGAATCAACTGAAATTAACACATTTTTTGAAGATCTTTTTTTTTGTTTTTTGTTACCTCTGCTATCTTTTTAATCGAAGGTCGACAATTGTTGGTCCTGGTGTAGATTGTTCACTGGAGTTCTGAAACCCTCTATCTTGCAAAATCCATACTTGTGAAATTTCGGCCCGGGCCGGGCCGGGCCGAGAGAAAATTTTCAGGGCCCGGCAGAAAAAAAAAACAAAATTTTTGAAAAATGAATTTTTGTTTTTGAATTTTGTTTTTGTTTTTGAAAATGAATTTATTGATTTTTAGAATGTATTGAAAAATAACTCGAAGAAAAAAAACACTGAATACCTTTTTTCGAAACAATGATTCAACTTTTCGCTCAAGATTTTGAAGTTCGCGGTAAACTCCGGGCCGACCGGGCCGACCGGGCCCTTCACAAGTATGGCAAAATCCCTTTTTAAAGCAAACAATTTAAATTTGATACTTTCCTTTTTTGGAATTCAAATAAAAAATGTTCACAAAATCTAGTAATTTCTGACATGATCTGTTTTTAGCCCCGTTAAAGAACGGGTTTTGATATTGACTGTTAATTTTTTCGAATTGTTGAAACTGTGAAAAAATTTCACACAATTTTTTGCGAAAATCAAAATCTATAAATTTAATTCCCCGAAAAATAGCAATTTTGATCTAAAAATATTCCGATTGACCTAATTTTCTAATTTTGTAAAAATCGATTCTTTTCACCTCTCACTCCGCATAATCATCAAGCAAATCCTTGTCGTCGTCTTGAAATCCCGGGTTTCTGTTGAATCCTGGAAGCGAAGGAGCTTTTAGAACTTTCGCTGTGAATGACAGTATAAATTTTAAATTTTTTATTCACTCAGAAAATTTAGAATTTGAAATTTGGAGATTTTGTTTTTTCAAAATCATTCAAAATTTTAATTTTTTTGACGCTTGAAAATGACGTCAATTTTCAAAAGTTTAGTTCTCACCTCTTACTCCACATTTTGAGCATCCGAATCTTCGAAATTCGGCTAATCCTTGAGATCACCCAATCCTTCCTAGGAACTGATGAATCCTAGAAGTCGAGAAGCTGAAAACTATCAAATTATTCAATTCAACCACCTATTTCCTTACTTCTAACTCCATAATCCTTGCATCTGATTTCCTGCAAGTCCATGTTGTCCATAAAATCCCGAACCTGGTGATCAGAAGAGGAGAAATAGCGCGCGAAAAAAAGAAAAAAAATGGAAAAGATCACAGAAAAATCAAGTTCAATGAAAGTTCGACATCCTGGCGGGGTTGGTGTCCTCTTGTAATCCATATCCACCAACTGAAAATTCATAAAATTTATGTTGAAATTTCTTTTTTATTTGTTTACCTTTGCAAATTCGAAGGACCATTGGTGTTGTTCCTGGTGTCTATTGTTCATGGGAGTTCTGAAAGTCTTTTTTTCAAAATCTTCATATTCAAAGATCAAAAAATTTCAGTTTATTACTATTACTTTTGAACTCGAAATTTTCAAAAAATGTTTCTAATTAAAAAAAATCAAATCTCCTCACCTCTCACTCCACATTCCTAGCATCTGAATCATCCGGCCAATCCGTGTCGTCGCCCTTGAAGTCCCGTTCCTGTTGAATCCTAGAAGCCAAGAAGTTTTGTACTCGGGCACTGAGAAAATTACCTCCTCACTTCTCACTCAATATTCCTAGCATCACAATGTTCCATATCCGGCATCCTTGAAACCATCCAATGCTTCCTCGAATCGCCTGAATCCTAGGAGCCACGAAGCTGAAACGTACCAAATTAATGAGTTATATTATCATTTTCCTCACCTCTAGCTTTAGTATCCCAGAATCTGAGACCCTGCAAATCCTTGTTGTCGTTGTTGAAATCCTCAACATCTTGAATCCTAAAGTCCAATCCTAGAACCCATCCAAGGAGCTCCTGGAACATGAATACATTTTTTAACAGCTAATGAAAATTTTGAGAGAATTTTTTTTTCGTCGAATAAGCATTAAATTACCTATTTCCTCATCTCTAACTCCAGATCCTAAAAGCTGCTATCCTGTGAATCCTTGTCGTCGGCGTTGAAGTCCCCAACCTGTAGAATCCTCGAGCCGAAAGAGCTCCTGGAACATGAATAGGATTTTCAAGTTTCCACCTATTTCCTTACCTCTAACTCCAAAATCCAAAGTCTGATATCCTGCAAATCCCTGTCGTTGTCCAGTCCAAGAAGCTCCTGGAACATGAAAATTTTTTCAACTAATAATATTTTTAGAGAAAAATTTTTCAGTTCCTTTTCTAAGCTTTTCTGCTTTTATCAATTTCTACTTCCTTACCTCTTACTCCAAAATCCCAGAATCTGAGATCCTGCAAAGTCGTCCGTCCGTCTTCGTTGAAGTCCCGAACCGTCGAAGCCAGGTAGACCCTGAACTTGAACGTTGGAAACTCAGTACTGAAGTTTTTCCCCTTCTCCAAACCCTTATATGTTGGCATTTCTTAAATTCAAAAAAAAATCACACTTCACGGAGGTCATCGATAATTTTTTAAAGTTTTTCAAAACGTTTTGAGGTGATGACTCTCACGTCTTTTATAAAAGCTCTTGTAAAACCACTATTTTCCTCCCTACAACTTCTTCTTTCAGTTCCTTTACTTCATCACTAATTCTCCTCAATTATCGTCCATGTTTAGTCCATGTTTTCGTGTTGTCCATTCCTTCCTTTCCCTAATTCCTTTTCTCCTAGATTCCATCGGTATTATTTGAAATTTTTTGTAGAAAACATCTTCCGTGTTTTGATGGGACCTTATGAATTAATCAACTCATTTGTGTCCTCCTCAAAACGTCCTATTTTTAATTTGGTGGCTCTTTTGAAAACGAAATTAAATTTTTTATAAGCGTACCAGTCAACAAACGATGGTTTGAAAAGAAAAAAAACAGGTCAAATGATCAGAAATCTTTAGTATTACCTCTAATAAAAGTGCTTCTTAAGATTGACAAAGTTTATCTCGATTCCTATAAGAGGTATCAAAAAGTCTTCAACTGACAAAATATATTTGAAAATATGGTAAACAATTGGTTAGTGGACCACTTTTTGATATCTTCAACAGGAAATAAGGAAAAATGGTTCAAAGATATTCAAGTAATTCACAGTTTCAAGTAATTGATGTTAGAAAAAATTAGGTAGAGATAATGATCGGATGTAATCCCGTAATCACTCTTACGCCACCCGAATCGTCAACTTTGAGCCCATGTATCTCATTTCATGTGGAAGATATCACAAAATGATCAATTAACAAAATTTTACTGGCATTATAATTAAAAATTTTGTTAGTTGACAACTTTTTGATATCTTTCAAAAGAAGTTAGGTATATATGCTCAAATTGGAAGATCCGGGAGACGTTCTATTAGAGTGTTTACTTTTGAATTGAAACCAAAACCGTGTTCTAGGCAAGAAAAGTGACAATTTTCGGGAGATTTGTGAAATTTCAATGTTTCCAAAATCAATTTGACTTTCAGTAAAAAAAACACGGTTTTTCTTGAAACTTCTGATAGAAACTTCAAATTTTTCATTTGTTGATTTCGTTTGAAAAAAATTTAGAAACCTGGGTTTCGTCTTCTTTCAACCACGCTAAGACAAACCCTTACAGACAGACATGGATCTTGTCGATGAAGATAATTTCTAGTCCAAGATAAAATTACAGTTTCACGATATTATCGAAAAAGGACCAATTTTCGATAACAGTTATATAGCATCTTTCCTCGCTTTTAGTACGAAAAATCCTATTTTTTACAGAACGAAACTTCTCCTTACACATCCAAAAAACAACTTCCATAAAACTTCGAAAACTTTGTTCCATCCCAAATTTCTCTCACTTTTTTCCGTACAGAGATTGGATTCATCGTTGTTTTTTGCGCCCCATCTGCACCCCCTTTTCTCACTCTGTCTTCCCACAGAAATAATTGTATAATTTCTCTCTTCCCTCACTTTTCTAAATCGCATTTTCCTCTCTTCTTCCCTTTTTTCTTCGACAAGCTCAATGTTCAGTTTTTGGCTTGTTTCTTTTATTTTAGTCCTTTTTGTCTTGCTATTAATGATAATGGTCAAAAATGGACTCTAATTGTAATGGATGGAGGGTGGAAATAAATATATAAAAGTATGAGATGAAGTTAGCCAATTTATCTCGGTTCGTGTCAAAGATATCAAAAAGTAGTCAGTTGATAAAATGTTTACCATAATATCATAAACGTTTTATCAATTCACACATGTTTGATATCTTGCATAGGAATTGAGTTAATTGAGCTTAAAGTTGGCAGTCCCTTCTATTCCAAGTTTGACGGTATGATTATGCTAATCCAGAGCGAATCCAGTGCATAATGATAGCAACCAAAATCCATAAGATTTTACAAAAATTGTGAAACCGAAAAAAAAAGAAAACCAAAAGTCGTTTCTAAAAAATCTGAAAAACACTAAACATTTTTTAGATCTTCACCGTAACTATATTTCCAGAATTTCCAGACACCCTGAAATTCCTGTTGCATCCTGACCGTCAACTTTGAGCCGATTAATTTTGATTTCTGCGAAAGTTATCAAAAAATAATTAAATTACAAAATGATCATCATATTATCAACAACATTTTATCAGTTGACCACTTTTTGATATTTCTAATGGGGACCGATAAAAATTGGCACAAAATTGCTCATTAGAATTTTACAGTATTTTTTCAATTTCCTTTTTTTCTGTTTCTCTATTGGGACAGAATCAGAGTGAAATTTTAACTTTACTGGGTAGACTCTACTTACCTGAACAATTCAAAAAATTCGCAAATATGACCCATCAAATATTCGAAGAATGTGCACCAAAAACAAAAAATGTTAGCACCAACTTACCAATCATCGTTTTTCCTTTCCATAATATTTCTCAAATCGCATCATTTATCACTTTTCAATCCATCTTTTTTCTCACTCTACACCCTCCATTTCGAGTGCTTTTGATGCCCCCAAGAGAGAGTTCAGAGCCCCTCTTGAGATGTTTCAAAGTACACATTCCATTCAGTTTTCCTCAAATTTTTTTCACACTTGTTAAAAGTGTTTTTTTTGTGGTCGTGTTTTGGATTTTTCAGTCCGAAGACGTTTCCCGAATAGTAGAGGCCTCTAGGGTTGTCTGAAAATTGTAAGCTGTTGATATCAAAAATCTCTGTTTCAAGTTGCTGTTTTCAAAACGAAATCAGACTCATTTTTGATGGGTTGATTGGTCTTGTTCGAACTGAGAAGTTCAATATTTATAATTAAAAACTGAATTTTCTATTTATACGATTTTTGTTGTAGAACGATGTACTTTCCAAATATGGGGAAGTTCATTTGTTAATTAGCGAATGTTTCGGTAGTTGTGAACCTGTTGAAAATAGAAAATCAATTACCCAAACAACATAGCAGTCTCGATATCTGAAAATTTTCGATAAGATAAAAATCTCTAGAATTACAAAACATTGTTATCTTGATTGCACTATGAAATTTTTGTCATCTTATTAGATAGATGCTGATTACACTGTCTAGAACACATCTCGAAGGAGATTAGGATCAAGTGCAGAACGCTTAATTTACAACTTTTGTTTTTCCAGTTTTAAAATATATTCTGTTTCAAAAAGATCATTTAGTTATATTATTTAGATAGCAATAATTTTGAACAAGCATATTATCCTTGTCAGAGAAAAAAAAAGGTTGAGTCGAAATGTATGCGATGTTTGTAAACAAATATCTGAAAGCGTAAACAACCGGAAACAGTTGAAACGAGTGCAACAGTAACCCGGCGGGAAAATATTAAATTTACTCATTTTTTAGCTTTTCGCATTTTTTTTGCAGCAAATTTCGTCGAATATATTTTAAAATACCGCAAAAAACAATGAAAAACAAACCATATTCGACGAAATTTGCTGCAAAACATGAGAAGAACTAAAAAATAGGTAACTTTAACATTTTCTCGCCGGGTTACTGCCGCACTCGTTTCAACTGTTTCCGGTTGTTTACGCTTTCAGATATTTGTTTACAAACATCGCATACACTTCGACTCAACCTTTTTTTTTTCTGACAAGGATAATATCAAGATATTCCTGAAATGTCTGGGGTAGTATGCTTAGATTTCTCTTATATATTTGTATCTTCCTGGATAAATTCTGGAAAACTATACTGCGGTTGGTTCCCTGAGCCGTAGTCAGTTTAATCTCTGGGTTAATATTTGGTCAATGGTTCAGTGGGTTCAATTTGAATGGAAACTTTGTTTTGTAATTATTTTGAAATTCAAACACTGGCTTTTAATACACTCTTTTATTGAGATCAATACGAAAAAAAGATGCGAGTGTTTGCACAAAAATAAGAGTTCGATGAGCTTCTGAAGGCCATGGTGATGATCTGGATACTGCTACTGCTTCGTGATTTGTTGGAGAATTTCGGCCGTGGATGGTCTTGTTTTGTGTAGTTGAGTACAAAGGCTGTTATGATGGAACTCTGAGCAGTACTCACAATGGCGAGTCTTTTTTTGACACGAATTGGGAAGGTGGCCCTGATATAAACAAAAAGGAAAGGTTTTTTAGACAACGGTTGAGAATTTGCTCAAAATTTGCATACTTATAGTTTAAGACATGCTCTATACGATGACGAAAAAATTTTTAGCCCGTTCTCACTCCCAGGCCGAAAAACTTTGTCTAAAAAATTTGGGCCGATTTCGGCGCCCTGGGGATTTCGGCTTCCCCTTCCCTTCTCTACCAATTCCGCGTGAGGTGATAATATCGGTTGTGTGGTGTTGTGGTAAGAGGGTGACTCATTAGGATTGAGTATGCTGGTTCGACCCCCGCTGTGGTAAAACTTTTTTCGCATTTTTTGAAACTAGTTTTTGATTCCAAGTTTGCCCCCCTAGGCACTATATGACAATTTTTGATTAATTTCAAAAGTTTTCAATGAAAAAAAAAGATTGCATGAGAGTTTGATGAAAAAATAGATAGTGGTCTTTTCGACCGGTTCATCCTCGTATCGTTAAAAACGAAAATTTAAGTCTCTGAAAGTTGCTCAATTTTGCTCTTTTTGAGGTGGAGTACTGTCAAATCGATCACATACAAGATTCGAATCTATTTCTATAGGTTTCAGTTAAGTTCAAGCGATATTTCAGAAATTAGGAACTGTCAAAGTTCTAACAACAATCAGATTTTGGAGATTTTTTGAGCCCAAAAACAACATTGGTTTGAAAAAATTTGTCAGAATGCTATTTTTATCGTTTCTGAATAATTGGAACGTTTTTTCGCACTTTTCAAAAAATTTTCAAAAAATAATTTTCAAAGTGTGGAGGACCCCATGGTGATTTTTTTTTCAACATTTTTCAAAAAAAATTTTTTTTTGAAAATGTTTAAAAGTTACTTTAGAAGATAGAAAAATGTCCAAAAATGAGTTTCGCACTCAAACAAATCCTGAAAAACTAATTTTTAACTTTGAAAATGCACGTTTTTGGCCAAAATTTAGTACTAAAAGCACTTTCAGAGGCCATATTTCGGCTCCTTTTGAGATCGGGCTAAACATTTTTTTTGGATTCGGATTCAGCATGTTCGAAAGTACCTTTGTACAAATTTTGAGCAAATTCTCAACCGTTGTCTGAAAAACCTTCCCTTGTCAGACCTATTGATGCTTTAAAATTTATACATGTTTCAGTGAATCATTATCAGCTCAAGAGTTGATTCCAGGTTAATGGATCATTTCTCTCAACTCGTCACTAGTTTAAAAAATTTCAGTTTGATATTCCCCCAGGAAAAATCCCTTTCTAAGAATAAATGGATATAATTTCCAGAATCTCTTTCCTCTTCTGAAAAAATATCTTTACATCATAATCGTATCTACTCATCCCATCTCCTTTTCAGATCAAAGATTTGCCAGTTTCAGTTTTTTTTTCCTTCTCTTCTATTCCTAATCTCTTCCTGACGATGACATCCGTTTTACTATCCCAACTCTTCTTCAATTTTTCCTTCTTCTCGTTTTCTGCCAGATTGACTCATTGACCCTTTTCATACATTTGATACCTTCTTATTCTTTATGTACACACAAAAAAAGATGACCCAATTTCCTGAGTGAGTTCCAGTTCCTCTTTTCTTCACCAGAAAAGTGGATCTATCCCATAGAAAAAATTGGCCTGGAGGGAATGGAATGTCCGTTGCTAAAAAAATTGGGGGCAGATTTCCGAGCGAATGGAATCGAACAATAAGGAGGGAAGGAGTCCATTCTCTCTGAAGAGAGCACGCCTACTTTGGTCCGCCTTTGAGAATGTATAGACGAGACGATGGTCTTGTTTTTTGATACATTAATGACTAGAACAATTGTAGAAGGTTTTGTATGTTTTACTGTTTTAGTATTGCTAGATTTATTTGAAAAATGCTTTAGCTTACTACAATTTCCATTGCTATTGGTTAAACCAACTTGGTTTCATAACATGTATTTGAAAATAGTTGCCGTTTGAATTGTTGTTGCCTACTGCTTCATATTCTCAGCAAAAATAACTATTTCTAAAATAAAGTATTCTTAAGTAGTTTTGGATAAGAGTTACAAAGATCACTTACTAGATCACTTAGTGCTCACAAGTCCGAAACAATGCTGAAATATATTTAAAGATTCCAATGTTG